TGTATGTATATATATAACCTGTAACCAAACAAATTAATAAATTATATATATATAAATAATTTATTAATTTGTTTCGTTTACAACATTATTATATTTTAATATTTTTTCCAACCAGCAAAATATTCTTTTTACTTTATTTTACTTAAATTACAATTATTATTTTCTAAAAATAACCATACTACACACCAATTTTTCTCATTTGGTGTACCAGGACCTAATTTAAGGGATCTATGGCATCACATAAAAATCAAAACTTTTTATAATGCACTCAGTTTTGCATTATTTGTTTCTATAAGCTCTCCAATAATTCAATGACAGAAGAGTGTCATTACATCAGCCATCTGTCAAAGAAAGTACAAACTGTAACTTGTTAGTTCAATTCTGTTGTTTTCATGAACCATCTTGAATTCTCTCAAAACTCTAGTGATGAATATTTAAGCCTGTCAACACTCAACAAACTTAGCAGACCTATGGAATTCCAATTCAAAATCTTCTAACTCTAGTAAAAAGGTATTATTCTGAGTGAAATACTTCTCCTATGGTCAATATGTCTACTTCTGTTATATCTCAAGTACATAGAAATATCTAAAGTTCGTAAGTACAATTATTTCAATACAAATTTATTGATGCCAAACAAACATCTCTTTCGTAACCAAAGTCATGTGTATTTTATGATAATCTGGCTAATGAATCTGTACAGCCTATTAATCTCAAGCAGCACTTGAAAACAAAATATTTGCAATATAAAAACAAATCAACACAATTTTCGAAGATCAAATTAGTGGAGTTGGTGAAGACTCAAAAAACTATAGAAAAAAATTTTGGTGTAAGCATTCAAAGGAATGCAACCTTGACTTCTTGTGATGTTGCAAAAATCATATAACAATGGCATATATCATGAGCAATGGCAAACTTTTCGAACATACTCGACATTAACTTGTTATCACTGTGTGACAGTTTGCCTTTCCGTTGTTTTTTGTGTGATGTTATCAAACTGTATTGACATATGTATTTTATGCAATGAATTGTGCGTATTTCTTCATACCTATGGCTATTCCTTTCAAACATTTACACAAAATGGCGTGCATTGCTTTTGGACATTTTGGGTATCCAGGCAACAATTTATCTTATCTGTATGAACCACATGTTGTTTCATACTAATTAATTGATGTTCTAAAACTTTCTAATTGGAAAGTTTGCTCTATCTGTTTTCATTTTCAATTTGCACTGCCTATCTTCCCAATTTCGCTACTAGGTGCACTGCTGTCATTTGCATTAGGTCGGGTGTAGTCACTTTACTATACCATTACCTCACTTGCATAGCTGTAGCTCTCTCCGTTTGCAAGAATTTTCCAGTTAAAGGGACTTTTCTATGCACCCTGTATAGAGGAGTCCTCCTACCCCTAAGGTTTCCACGTCTTGTCTTGGATTTCATCTGTTTAACTCCATTCTCAAGATTAAGAAAACACAGACAAACTGCTGGACAGATGATAGTGGGAATTTATAGGTCTGCAATTTTTTCAAATTGCAGCCCAATAAAATTTTTGATCACTTTCAACTAATACTTCAAATATCTTTATGAGCCAAAATAAATTATGCAGTGAGTAGATCTAGCCGATTTAGCCATAGTTTTAGCATTAATAATTTAGAAACAAAATGCAGGAAAATGAAATATTTCTTCTAATTTGTATCATTTTTTTAAAATCAATGTGATTATGTTACTTCCTTTAATTTTAAGTTTGAAAGACCTATGTGTTTTAAACTTAATAAACATATAAATCTGTACTTCTATGATTTATATGTATAGAAGTATAAATCTATACTTCTTGACAAAATTTCCCAATATATCAAATATTTATAAATCTTCTTCTAATTCAATAACCAAAAACACAACAAAAGAACAACTCACTTGAAAGACAAACGTTTATATCAAATATTTCCCTTAACAGGTGCTTTTAATCTAATTAAATGTTCTATATTCTACTAACTTTTATTTAAAGTAAAAGCATAAGCATGTAGATTTTCCAGTTTCATCATGTTTGACTGAAATAATTATGAGAAATCTAAAGACCAAATTCTTTTCCATATTAGTACTTTTCTACTTTATTTCATCTACATAGATGATGGAAAATTACATAGCGTGTCCTTGGAAACATGCTATGTAATTTTAATTAACATTTACTAAACAGTCTTGCAGCATTTTGTACAGTACTTCTGCTGATTTGAATCTTCAACTTTTTAGTAGAACAATTTTCACTTTCTTTAGTAGAATGAAACAGGTCTAATCTTTTGTAAAATTCCATTAAATCAAAAAATTCCAAAATTTCATATCTTTTTTTTGAATTTAGAAGATTGTACAACAGAATCATCTCTCAAATTCTTTGTTTATTGTAATGCACAGTTTGATGTACTAACTGTTTATACTGTTAAGCTTATATTGTAAGATATAATAAAAATATCTTACAATATAAGCTTAACAATATAAACAAATAGCATAAAGATGCGGCAATAATACTTTTGTCAATAAGACTTTATTGTCGGTTCTTCAGAAGAATTTATTAGAAAGCCACTAAATATTATATCCAGTGGTGATATTCAGTGGGTTCGCACAGGTTCGGCTGAACCCATTGTTAACATTTTCAAAGTTTTCCGAACCTTGTTAAACACACGTAACATTTCTCAGTGGTTTTGTTTCTTTTAAAAAATATATTAAAATATACATATTATACTCTGTAACACTACTAAACTAGAGCCTTATACCCCTTTCGCCTTGGCGCGACCTCCCTCAACCGTTTCAATCTTGACTGAAATGAGGTTCAATCATGATTGACTCAAGAGAGTTCTTGAAACTAGATCCAGTCATAAGAGAGATCCCACAATCTCACACACGCGAGAAAATACAAGATGGCTGCAGAACATGTGTCAGGCTATCGACAACAAAATAAAAAAGATATTGTATTTTGAGAGACGATGATATCTGTCTATTATTATAATAATACCTAACAACAAAATAAATGATTTAAAAACGTTTTTTCTTGTTTAACTGCTTTCCCTATGACTTTTTCTGATTAAAAAAAGCCAATTTTTAAGTTTATAAAATATTTTGAATGAAAAATATTAAAATATGTACAAAATAAACCATTTTGAACACTCTTTTTTATTATTTATCAAAAATAATATAGTTCTGGCATAAACAATGTTAAATTTTAACTGACTTAATTTTGCAAATGCATCTTTTTTTATTTATTTGGGTATCTTAAGGTCAGTTTTTGTGCTAATGTTGCTAATGCACCATTTGAGCGAAAAAAAACTGTTAAGGAAAAATTTTCTGTTAGCAAATCCTTTGTTAATTATTTCGAATATCACCACTGATTATATCAAACTAGAAATCGAAGTAATACATGTAAATAATATAGATAATGCACTTTTAAGCTTACTACATCATTATCACTTTTTGTACATAAATATTCCTATAATTTACAGTATGATGTATAAATTAACCAGATTTTTTCTAAACTTTGGTTCAATCTTAGCTATACAATTGCACTATCTCTCCATAAGCATCTGGTCTAGCTTTGCCTGTAAAATTTACTATTTTTCCTACACTAGTACTATATCAAACTCTTCTCATTACATACTATATAGGCTAAGATCTATTTCAAGAAAATTATTAGAACAAAAGCTACACACCAACCAATGCCAAATATTATCAGGCTAGAAATGACTATAACATTAATAATTTATAAGACAATTTGGCACTAGAGTTAAGCGTTAGAATTTGGCACTAGAGTTTGGATCTGTCTCTTGATAAATTTAATAATTATAATTTTAATTATTAAATTTATACCAACCAATGCCAAGTATTTTAATATTTGGCATTGGTTGGTGTGTAGCTTTATATTATATCAGGTTTAGTGATGATGTTTGTTTATATTATAACAGTTGAGCAAATAACTAATAAAACATATTTTTAACAGTTTTCTTATTTTAATAAACTCAAAAAAACTGATTAGCTATATAAGCATTTGTTAAAATTACATTCGAGAAACAACCAAAGCTGTAAATACACATAATGTTCCTACACTCATGTTTTTTTCACTATTGAAATCTATTAAAATCTTAACAAATCAACATTTTTGCATATTTTCTTTATTACAATTTAACTATTTCTATTCTATTCAATCTTTTCTTTAAAAATATTTCTAAAAACATCACAGATATAACAGAAACATCAGAATACTTAAAGATCCTCAGATTTTATTCAAATTTTAACACTGAAAAACAAACATGCTTTATCTTACTATTGAAAGAAGCATTACTATATTTTTAAAAATATTTTTATAAATTATACATCTACTTCTCACATAATTTAATACAACTTAAATAATCTTAAAGCTTTAATTATAATTAATAATTATGTAAACTTTTAACATATTAGAATGAATGTTAGAACAAATTTAATAACTGATTAAGACACTTGTTTACAAAATTCCAAAAGAAAATAATTTAAAAATATTATTCTCAAATTGAAATACTGTACAGTAATTTACAGTAATTTGATATTTAACTATTTACTCCTGATTTTTTTAATGGGAAGTTTAAAAAAAAAAAACCTAATCTCACAAGTTTTGATGATTTTAGGTCAACTATCACACAATTAAACTGAAACTACTGTTATTAATCTTATGTGTATCTAATAGATATTTCATAATTTTATTGATTTATCTTGTTTGTTATTTCATTAATTAAAGGTAAATCTGATAGTGAATGTTTACAATGGGATAAATCTGAACGCTGTTTAAAAGGCAGGAAACACGTTTTCTTAAGCCACGTTTTTTTTATTTATATTGTTGTGTGTGAATTACAAGACTTGATACATGTTTTTTAAAGTAAATTCTGCGCATAACATGCGTATAATATACCCGATTTACTTTTATTTATTGATTGTTTCGTTAACCTTGTTTAAAACGATATATATGATTATCGGCACGTGATCTTACCGTATAATAAGACAGTAAACCGGCATTGTCATCCAATACGAACCACCTATATTGCCAACCCTTCATAACATTCGTCCACTTGCTAAGTGGACCTTCCATCACCGCCATGATGTCTTTTCTGCTTTAAAACAGTGTTGCCAACCCACGTTTTCTGTATTTTAGCTCGCTTGCAGCGCCATCTCAAAAAGCTTACAAAATTTCATTAGCGAGGTTGAGGAGCGCTAGCTTTCTGCTAAGACAACGAGCGCGGTATAACGGCGTCATGTTGGAAGGTTTTAATTAAATTAATTCAACTAGAACATAGTGGCGTAGCGTGGATGTCAGTGCCCGAGGAGGAGGAAAATTTCGCCTAACCCTTATTTAGGTATCTCAGTTTGAAAGACTAAAATTTAGTTTTGTCACAGAATAAGTAATGAAAAATTCCATGCTCATTTCAATCGGTCCGAATCGTAGGTGCGACAAAAATATGAAATGAAATGGTTCAAATTCTTACAAGATATTATTATTATTTATTATGAAAATTTGCCGCCCCCTAAAAGTGCCGCCCGGGGCGGGCCACCCCTGTCGCCCCACTACGCTATGCCACTGCTAAACCATCAAAATTTTTTTTAAATATGGATGAAAGAACTTATGACAGTTTACGAACAGCTAAAAATAAACATATTTTCAACTTTTGCCTATCTGAAAGATTTTAACAGGTGTAATTGTCTAGGGCTGGATGGCCGAGCGGGCCTACCGCTCTGGAGACCTGGGTTCGAATACGGACGGGTCGAAAAATCCCTAGAAATTTTTCGGGGGGTGGTTCGCTCAGATATGTCGGGACCAATTCCTTACCACCCGGTCGCTCCATTGTAGGTCTAGCCGAATCCATAATCGGCTTGTTAAATGAGTCCTTCTTAGTGCCCACAGGGCGGAAATAATTTTTAAAAAATTAAAAAAAGACGTAATTGTCTTTTCGTCTTCGTATGTCAGATACGTAGATCAAATTTCTTAGTTATCTTGATTTTAGATATCAAGTAATAATATAATAATTAGCGTTATATAATCCACATGTCGAAACTTTCAGCATAAAATATATATATAATGATTTTGTAAAATAAAAAAATTATATACTGTATATATATATACAGTCGACCCCCCTATAATTACGGTCCCTATAATTACGATTCCTATAAAACTACGAAAAAATATACGTATTTTGGAAATGTTGAGTCGGATTAGTGTAGAATCGATTAATTTTATGGAAGAAAATCTTTCAAACAGCCGTAGTCCGTAAACTTGACACGTGTCGGGCTGTGATTGGAACGACTTGTAAGAAATCGTTTAAATAAATTCCTAATAAATTGGAACGTATCTATATCTTATAGGGGGGTCGACTGTATATTATTTTTTTATTAACTATATTTTATAATACAATCTACGGCATATTTGTACTCACAGCACATTGTTTTGTGTACCTTTATAATTTATCACTATTGCTTGTTAAATATGTTGTGAATGAAAGTAATTAATTATTTACCAAATATAATTTTGTTTTAAAACTAGTAAATGTTTCATATTTTCATTACGAACAGCAACCAATATCAAAACTTATTTAAATAAAGAACTCCAGACATCATTCAGTGCAGCTGACCTAAGCTTGCTTGAAAAATATCATCACTGTATTTAGGCACGATGTCATGAACATAGCCAGATATTTTGGATCTATCTTTTCGATATTCCTCGTTGGAATCGATTGCAGCTATTAAAGACGAGTCTTGTGGCTCATCGTAGTCATTTTTTGAAAAAGCTAGAGTTGGGATTTATAACAGATTCCGAACAAATACTCAAAACATTTATAATACATGCTGTGAAAACGCGATCCATTTTTATTAGCGGGATGCTAGCTGTTATGTTCCTTCTAACACATCAGTAGGAAGTTAAATATTTCACATATCCGCTAGCAGATAGCAAGCGCTATGCTGAATAACGGAATACGTGAATAGCTTTGCAACTAAGCTTGTTTCTAGTCTTGGTTTTCATTAAATTTATAGATGAAAATATTCGTTTCACTGCTGCACTTGAATGAGGAAGGCTTAATATGCATCAGGCAAAGTTACTTATTACAGGAAACATCTTGGTATTTCTTTTTAAGAACATTTTTCCAAAATTCTTCAGTTTCAATATTATTGTTTTCACTAATCACAATATTTCCTAGTAGTCTCCACTCTGTGTCAATAGCTTGCAAATGGTCGTCTTTGATAATATTCGGAAAAAGTGCTGATAGGTTTGCTTCTGAGATAATATTTCCATGTTATTGGGTTGGATAGCTTGCATTTCAATTAGTATTTTGTCATTGAATGATACTCATTTGAAGATTTATGACACATCTATCAAAAACCTAGGCACTTCTTTTTCATTTCCTGAACGCCTTTGCAATCGAGATTCTCAGAGACAAGATGGGCTGTTATTTTTTGCACCAAAGTACAGTACATGTCATCTAATGGCAGAAAGTTCCTGGGGTCTTGATACTGAACAGCCTGCAGGAAAGTCGCTTTTAGGTAAGATGGCTTCATGTAACATTCGAGTATCATTTTCAGAACAGCTGATGTATGCTGACGAAGACACTGTATTTGTGGCTTTTCTGCTTCATCTGACGATTAAGATTATTGAACACTGGCAAAATGAACTCTAAAAATTCCAAATAACTTGTTGAGTGGATTTCTGAGTCTAGTATGGTTTCTGCTGTAATAGCATGGTCATCAAGTGCGGCTTTTGTAAAAAAAAAAAAAAAAAAATCTTTAAAGCATCATATTGCTGAAGTATGCTGTACAACACAGTTGTGAAGTGACAGCCATACAGCCATACAACCATCTAGTCTGAGTAGAATGCAACATTTTATGTAGTTTACAATTCACAAAATCCTAAAATTTCTGTAGCAATTCTTTTAGGTCGTAGTTTGAAGTAGCTTAATATGTCTCTTATAAGGTCCTCAAGAATTCTTGGGAGTTTTTCACATGCATATGACGCACACGGGTTAAAAGAATGACATATACATTTCATGACATACAAATTTAAAATTTCTGATTTTAAAAGTGTTTGAACAAAATGATGTGCACCCATCATAACATTAGCACCATCAGCAGCAAATCCATCAGCTAGAAAATCTATCTTACTAGTAATAATAGCTGCAAAACTCAATATCGATGTATAGAGATGTCGGTAGGTCGATAGACAATACCAAATATCTGTAGGTCTACCGATAAATCGGTAGCAATGGTAACATTGCTTCGAAATTTAGTCAATTTCAGGCGAGTTGATAACAATGCGGTCGGAAATAGGGGGGACATTCAACTTTTTCCAATTTAACAATTAAATATTATAAAATATATAAATTATTTCCGCTTTTATCAGATAATATAATTTTAAATATTTAATAAATCATATTTTCGATAAATAAACTGAATTTTTTTTTACAAAAACGTTTTACTTTTTCTAATATATCAGTTTTATTCATTTTTGTAATTATTTACGATCGTTTGAATTATTAATATATCATTATCTGTTAATTTAATTGCGGATAAACAAATAAAGTTTTATTTTATTTCGTTCCTTTTTCGACCAATGAAATCAAAGCGCAGGAAATTCAAATTCAAAAGTTGCATTAAATTTGTTAACTATAAAAAATGTATATACAAATGTTAGTTTAGGTTTTTATATGATATAAATTAATAATTATACCTTGAAAATGGATAATTATAAAAGGGGGGCTCCTTATAGGGCTACTAGAATGGTAAGTTTTTGTCAGTTTCCTTCATAAGTTTGAAATTTAAATACCCACGTTTCAAATTTCTTCGTGCGAATTTTCACGCTATATTATTACTAAAATTAGCTGTTAATTCTTTAAATTTGATCTTATAATTATATTTTAAATACTTTACAACTTATCAGTGATTATAAAATAAAATCATAATTTTAAAATATGTACATTTTTTATGTACAAAAGTATGTACAAAAAATATACATTTTATTTACAATAAAAATATGTTTAAAAATGACCTTTTAGGAAAAAACTGAAAGATAATTTTTATAACTAATTTCAAATATTTAAACATTTTAATGATGCATTTATTATATATATATAGATAAAATGTAATTTATTATATAAAAAGCATGTATCATTGTTTTTTTAAATATATATATATATACAACTTATAAAATGATTTTTAATACAAGTTAAATAAAGTTAAAAATTTAGATGTAATTCTAAAAATTATGCAGTTTGTAATTATAAATGTAATTATTTCATCTTAAAACTATTGTATAATGCCTTTGATAAAATATTTTGAGCACTGCACTAAATCTTATCTTATTTCTGTAATTCTCTTGATAAAATTAAGTGTAAAATATTACTTTTTATTCTTTTACAATAAATAAATAAGAATTTTTTGAACATAAAGTTGTTATGTTTACTCTATTGTTATTGCTTATTAATTGTTTTTTTTTATTTGATTTATTATAGGCCTATTTTAATTTTTATTGATAATAAAACTATTCTTAAAGCTTTTAAAACATTTTCTAATAATAAAAATAATACAATTTACTTTGAATATCTTAGATTTATAATTATCAATGTATTATATTCTTTTCAGTTATCATACACTGATATATAAGTAATTATTGCTTACAAATTGAATTAAAATTAAAATATAAAATAATATTTATAATTACAAAACAGATATCAAAATATTCAATTAAAATAAATGTACAAGTAAAGAAATTTTAAAATTTATAAATAACTTTTTTCTTTTAATTTTCATACAAATAGAAAAATAATAACAATAAATAAATGAAACTGTTACAAAAAAGCATTGAGTTTATCTAAAGAGAATTACATTTGTTACCAAGACAGAAAAAAATATTCTTAGTAGGAAATTGGTAGACATTATATAGATGAAAGGATCAGGTTAAGGATTACTTTTATATATAAATTTCTTTGGCTTACAGCCAATCTGTCTAGGAAGCAAATGTGAACAGAATCAAAATTTATCTACAAATAAAAAAATATATTTACAAAGTTACTTAACTGAAAACATATTAAATTAATTTAATTCATTGTTTCCTCATAATATAACTAATATGTTGATATTATAAAAACTAATAATTTCATGACTAAAAAATATTTATTACAAAAAAAAATCTTAATTATTCAATTTAAATTTTACAGCTTTTTGTAATGAGATATATTTTATGGCTATTTTTTTCTATATATGCTCTAATTAAGAGTTTAATTTGTTGTTTTACTCATTTAATTCTACTAATTACGCTGTTTTGTAAATACTGTATAAGTATTCATTTTATGTCTTTTAATTAGGAGAAGTTATAAACATTATAGCATTTTCTGATTTTATGGATGGTTAATTAAAGTCTGGTTAGATTGTGAGTTATAAAGTAGACCATGTATATATAGTTATTATCAGGGGAATTGGATGCAATTACCTGTACGATATATTAAATGATAACTAACGTTAAATGAGTCTCAGAAAATAGGAAAAATATATTTTTTGGTATCTTTTTATATGATATTTCTTTACTCCATCCTTCATTAAGAGTACAAGTAGAGCAAACACGGCAATTTGAAGTTTGTAAACACAACTATTCTAAACAGCATTGTATTTTGGCCAAGTGTCAACTAAAGCGGTACGCCATTTTGTTATCGATCTGTGCGATGCAACACGCATTTGTACAGAAATTTCTTGAATATTCGATGCAGCGTCTGCGCTGCTAGTCCGTTCATTTAACATTTCGGAAGTCGAAGTCCGTAGGTATTCATATATCGTCCATTTGTTAATACTTTTGTATCCCGTCAAGCATTATTTAACTTTGAAAATGAAGATTGTTGTAGTCTGAAGTATTGGCATTACGATGAGAGGGTTCTTTCTACGTTGTCCTCTACGAACTATCCTCGGTCAACCCGATAGAAAACATCATTTGTGTGCATGTCTGAAACAGAAAACGTCTCATATTCAAATACCTTATCTGTTTGGTAATTCAGGGAGTAAAATACTTAAAAGAAATTTACATGAAAATTCAATTTATAAAAATTCTCATGCAAATCGCGTTTTTATGCCCGTTGAGGAATTTGCTCGGGCTAAAGAACTGAAAGTTAGCAGCACTTTTATTTCACAAAAAGATGTGGATAAAGATGATCAAACAAATGTGGAAGATGTCCTATTTACTATGTTTAAAAATAATGATGATACAGTACCAGTTGGACAGTTTTTGTCCTCCTTATGGTCTACTGGTTTGAAAAAAAATGATCCTAGATTAAAAGAAATGATGTCTAAATTAAGATGTGTTCATAAAGAAACACAGACCGTTGGATCGCCCGAATCATTGAATCTTGATAGAGAGACTTTTAAAAGTGTTATAAAAGAGAATATCGTTTTGATAAGTAGAGCATTTCGTAACCATTTTGTAATACCGGATTTTCAAGATTTTGTTAAATATGTAGAAGACTTTTATTGGAAATGTAAAGTTATAACTGGAGGTAAGGTTGCTGCATACATTCCACAGCTTGCAAAATTTAATCCCGATTACTGGGGTGTTAGTTTATGTACAGTAGATGGGCAGAGATATTCGATTGGTGATACTGGTGTACCCTTTACCATTCAGTCTTCGGGTAAACCGATTAATTATGCTATTGCCTTAAATGAACTAGGATCTGATATAGTTCACCAATACATTGGTCAAGAGCCTAGTGGTAGAATGTTTAATGAATTAGTACTTGATTATGCTCGGAAACCTCATAATCCAATGGTGAATGCTGGTGCCATAGTCGTGTGTTCTTTGCTGCTTTATTTAGTTGAACCAGAAATGAGAGTATCCGAAAAATTTGATTGGATATGTCAATATTACAAAGCTATGGCAGGTGGTGAATATCTTGGTTTTAATAACGCTACTTTTCTTTCCGAAAGAGAAGCAGCAGATCGGAATTATGCTATTGGCTTTTATATGAAAGAAAATAAATGTTATCCGGAGAAAGCAAATCTTAGGGATATTATGGACTTTTATTTTCAAATGTGTTCTCTCGAGGTTAATTGTGACACTGTCAGTGTCATGGCTAGCACACTTGCAAATGGAGGAATATGCCCTATAACAGGACAGCAAGTCATAGAAAGTCATGCAGTACGTGATGTTTTGTCACTAATGCATTCTTGTGGGATGTATGATTATTCTGGACAGTATGCTTTTAAAGTTGGATTACCTGCTAAATCTGGAGTGTCGGGATGTACGATGGTTGTTGTACCTAATGTAATAGGTCTTTGTTTATGGTCTCCTCCACTTGATAATTATGGGAATTCGGTAAGAGGAGTTCAGTTTTGTGAAGATTTAGTAAGAATGTTTAATTTTCATCATTATGACAATCTAAGACATACCACTCAAAAACGAGATCCAAGAAGACAGAAGTATGAAACTAAAGGATTAAAAATTGTTGGCCTTTTGTTTAGTGCTGCTAGCGGAGATGTCACAGCAATGCGTCGTCATTATTTATCGGGAATGGACATGGGACAAAGTGATTACGATGGGCGTACAGCACTGCATTTAGCTGCTGCCGAAGGTCACTTAGAATGTGTAGAATTTCTTTTAAAAGTATGTGGTGTTAATCACAAACCACAAGATCGATGGGGACATACACCTCTTGATGAATCTCACACATTTGGCCACACAAAAGTAGCTGAATTCTTAGAAAAATGGGAAGCCATCCGTGATGAAGAACTTCAGCAGATGGGAGATGAAATAGTCAAGATGCCTAATCGTAATATTGTTCCTCTTTTGCCAAAATAAATTTGTGCTTACTTAACTTCTAACTAAATTTTATTTGCTATTTAATGATTGTAATTTTTTTAATTTATATAATAAAATATTAAAATATTGAACAAAATATTTTTAATAGGCACATGTATTTAAAATTTGTTTATTTTTTAAAGTTTATTTTATTAATTATATTACAATGTTATATATGTAAGTAATATTTAATTGTGTTTAATTGTACACTTTTAAATTGTTACAATTTGTTGTTGATTTTTAGAGTAGAATGTATAATAATTTACATAATATTTAGAGTACAAATTTTGAAGTTGTTAATTTTGTTATAGACTAAATGTTACTTAACTACTTATGAAATGATTTTGATGTTCCTGTTGTTAATGTTATTTTAGAAAAAAATTAAGGTATTAATTTGAAGTAAAATTGATTTCTGTCATTCACGATATTACAGTAGCAATACATAAAAATGAAGTCTCCTACATATCTTATTAAATGTTAAAATGACAATGTCATGTTTAAATTTGGTCTCAAGATTGTGTGAAAATATTGTTGTAATTTTAAATTATATTATTTTTGTTTAAAGAATAAATATGATTAAATTTTAGTTATGTTCACATTAAATCAGTTGTTTTTTTTACTCATTAAAATTTCACTAAAACATAAAAGAAATTTAAAATATACATTAACAGAGCTTTGATTTAATGTTATCATTAAGTAACTAAGAATGTAATCAATACTAAATTCATAGATCGTTTTTTTTTAATGAAAATTTTAAAATGGTTTCTGAAATCTCTTAAATTGCTCACTCAGTTTTTGTTTCTGGATTATCATAACTTGAATTAATGTGATTTAAAAAAGCACAATAATAATAATAATAATGTAAATTAAAATTTTTAATTAATAATTACAACATATAATACCATTACATAGATTCTTATAGATACATATACATTTTGCAGAAAATTTTATTAAGAATTCTAATAATTCATAACTTTCACTATTATAATGTTTCTTTTGAAATGAAAGTACAGTAAGTGTTAAAAATAAAATTTAATGTTAAGTAAAAAAAAAAGTAAACTGTTTTTTACATTTATTATTTTGATTAATGTTGGAGTATTTTACAATTGATAGAAATTCACAATGAATATGAAAGATATTGGAGTTGGATTGGAATTGTCATCTATAATAAACTATTACACAATTATAAATCCTTTAATAAAATACTTCTAAATTATCTTTAAGAGTATTTAATTTCTTATTACATTGTAAGGATTTCAAAATTTTTTAGTATATTATATTTAAACTTAAAAAAGTGAAAGAGACACTAAAAAAAAGGTAAAAAGTTTCTATTAATTTTATGTTTCTGAGGTTTGTAAAGGACAAAGGTTGACTCCAACAAAAGACTGTCTTGAGGCTCTTGTCTGTCTCAATGTACAAATACAGTACTTGTTTAAAAAATTTCCCTTTGACGACGACACAATAAAAAAAGTATTGTATAAAAGAACTTCAGGACTAATACAATTAAAGTTGAGGCAGATGAGAGCCTCAAGATTAACTCCACCAAAAGGTTTTATCTTCCTAAGGTATGTTAAGGTTGAAGTGAGAAGACACATCTTACTCTTTTTAAGTGTTTCTTCTATTTATCACTCAGAAATTTTTTATTAGCAACTTTGTTTTAAATAGTACTTTTTTAAAATGCTTAAGCACAGAAATATATAAAAATATAATTACATTTATTTTATAAACAAATAAAATTTTGTTTAAATTGTATTAAATAATTCTTTTTCATATTTTAAGATTTAATTTTAAAAAATATTTTACTTTGAATTTCTATATTTATAGCTCTTATCATTTAATATTTGAAAAATCAATAATAAATAAATTGTGCCTTTCTGAAAACTTAATGTCTTACCAAATATTGGTATTATTTTTTTAATTGTAGATTAAATTCTAGATCAAATGTTCTAAAAATTGATATAAAATAAAATTATTTGAATATTTATATATGTTTAAATACACATTTAATTAAGAAAAAGTATTTTTTGTGATTTATTTCTAGTAGTAAATATAATAAACATGTCACAATCTTTCCAAATTATCATCATTTTTTTATGTAATTAATCTATTATTTCATATTAACTGGGTTTTTTAAGTACAGTACTTATTATAATTGTAAGAATTTAATGGTTTTAATAAAAAATATTTCATGAAATAATTATTTTAGTGGAATGAAGTAGTAGTTGCTTTCCGTTCTGGTATGCCATTAAGGAAACATCGCAGGCACATGCGTTCATTTGAAAATTGCTTTTCTGCAAGTGAAGCAGTTGATTGGTTACATAATTTTTTAAGGAGAAATCATAGTTTTGGACCAGATGTTACCAGGTATAAATTTAAAAATCTTAAGAAAAAAAAATTAATTTTATACTTAGTGTATAATTAGTTAAAATGAATTAAATTTTGATTTTTCAGGCAGCAAACAGTTCAGTTATTACAAAAATTTATGAAAGCTGGTGTCTTTGAAAGAGTTAAATCAAATTCAAAAGATAATCAAGAAGATTTCAAAGATAACTCACAATTATATAAGTAAGTATTTACATAAATATTAAAATCAATTAATGAAGAAAATGGTACTTATTATATTAATATTTTTAATTTCAATTTTTATTTAAAAATATATATTTTAAGTAATATATATTTCATATATTATGTAAATATTTCAAAGATGAACTATGAATATATTACTGAGTGTGCTATACAGGAAAAAATTTTAATTTGTCAGTATGCAGGTTAGCTAGCAACTACTACAAATTTCCTTACAAACCTCCATTAATAACAAAACAATACTTTTACTGTAGCATTCAATAGCATACTGAATAATATTGAATATCTATAGTCTGGTTATCATTAAATATAATACTAACAATAATTTTTACTTAACTGGAAGAAATATTTAATAGATCAATCAACCAGCTAAAATTATCACTGAAAAGTAATAAAACTTGTGTTTAAAAAATCACTTAGCAGATACTTTAAATTATTTTCCTTTCAAATATATATGTAATGATCTTATATATATATTAAATTATAATATATAATAATTAATGTAAAATATAATAAAATAATTATAATAAATTATCAAAGATTAGTAAAATATTAGTTGTTTAATGATGATTATTATTTTTTTTTAATTCAAAAATCTTATGACTAATTATTTTAATGGCTTTTTTTCTGCTCAATTTTGTTGATTGATTTTAAATAATCAATACTTCCACGATTGTTAGTTTCACTAAAATAATTTCTGGATCAATATTTTTATAGTTTAAAAGATTTGTGGAAGTTGTGAAATTAAATCTACTTAGAGAGCATTTTATAGATATTTATTGTCTTTTAGTTCATACCAATGTAATGGATTTTTAATTAAAATTAATTTGTAAGTTGATAAATTATTATTGAAAATTTGAACAAAGAATATAATATAAAACTATTTTAAATTTTGAAAGAGTATCTTTAAAAACTATTAATTTTTTTTTTTATCTGGGACATAATGGAGATGATAGATATAATCCTATAGTACACATCATGTTAACTTATATATTTTTTTCCTCTCTCTCTCTCTTTCACTCTGTGCATGGTAAGAGTGATTTTTTTCTATACCCATTATGGGTTTGACAAAGTCCACCATGGGATGGCCAGGTGATGAGGAACAGAGTCTGAAATATCTGAGATTGACTGCACATCATAAATTTCTGGAGAGTTGCTTGTCTGGATTTGATCCGATCTTTCCTACAGCAGTAGGTTGATGTCTTAAACACCATGACCATTTAACTGTTTGTTGACTTATAAACTACAATAATGTAAAATATATAAAGTTTATCTGTAAAAAAATTGTGAAAGAAGTTGTCAAAAGTATTCTCAGATAAAGAAATGTAGAGAAAACTTTACAGCATTCCCTCTTTCTCTCCTTTTTTTTTATGAAAAAGTTTTTAAAAAACTTGTACAGTGAGTGATCGGTTAACAAACAGTTCAGATTGTGCAAACAAATCAAACAATGAACACTTTTGCAAAAGATTTTTATGTTCAGATGACAAACACATGTTGTTTAGATAATGAACATCTCACAGAACAAATACAAGAAGAAGCAACACTGCATTTAAGATTTGTAAAACTATATTTTACTGACATCTATGAATGATTTATGGAATGAGACTTTCACAGTTGTATACATAACCTTTCTTGTACTAGTTGATTTTTGTTCTCTGAGTTTTTGTAAGTGCTTTTCTGAACTTTTTATTTAAAAAAATTAATAGTATTTGGGGCTTAAAAAGAGTGGAGTGTCAAGAACTGTATTCACTGTAGAAACTAAGCAAGAGATAATAGCCTGTTATGACTATGAGCAATAACACATGTAAAACTTAGATGCTTTATTTCTGTTTGGGATTGGATACATGAATAACAGCGAGACTTGAACGATGGCGAGACAAATGGGACTACTCTATAACCGGTCTCCCCTCACACTTTTTTCCCCCTTTTTCCATCGAGAAGCATCCTAGTTTTCATATCCCTCACATCCTCCCTACCTTGGTTTTCTGCTTCTAGTGGGAGGACCAATTGGATGGGTTGGTGATGCGCTTCTGATCAGGAAGCCTCAGATGGCATGTCCGGATGTGACCATTGCGGCCAGCGATCAGCTCTTCGATTATGGCTGTTCTCCACATTTGTCTAGACAGCGAGTCTTCCTTAAGAAGAACAAGAGCTCCTTCACAGGGTGATGGCAGTTTTTTCCTGACCTTGCAAATATGATGAAAGCTTAGTAAGTCAAACAGATATTCTTTCTGCCATCATCTCAGAAGCTCTTGGTGATCGACTATTGGTGATGCCACTGTCTCACAAGGTCATGAAGTGTGGGGATGGTTGTTAAGCTCTGGAAGGTCAGTAATTTTTTTTCCTACCAGGAATTGAGAGGGTGTGAGGGCTTCTGATTCTTCAGTGTCATAGTTGTGTACTAGAGGCCTGCTGTTACCCCAATGAGTATGGTAGACATCTGTTCTGCATTTACTAGACTTTTCCCCAGGATCTTGCGGAGGCATCTCTTCACGCTCCTCACCAAGCTGCCTTCTCTACATTGAAGACCCAGGTGATGCCGTGGTGGGCAGAGTAGTGGGCAATCTCTGTGTTAGAAAGTTATTGCCATAGATCGTGCAGTTCTTTGTTGGCTGTGTGGAAGGATTTGGCAAAGTAAATCTTGTGAGGGAGTTTATTCTTTAGTTCTGAATATGCATTCATGTTTTGAGCACAGGATAATTTTATTTCTGTTGTCTCCTTCATATTATTGAGACAAGTTTCTTCCAATTCTTTCTTTAAGTTTTCTAAAGTATTTTGATATTCCGACTTCTCTTTCAATGCTTCTTCTAGTTTAACACATACTTCATTTATTCTAACATCTGCATTCAGTGATTTTTTTAGGTATAGCAATACATCTCGATTCTTGAAGACATTTCAATTCTTTCAGCTTTTGATTTTCAACCTCCTTTTTTATTGATGCCATTATTAGCAGATTTAACAGTGTTTGAGTCTTCTTCAAGTTTTCTTGAAGAAGACTCAAACACAATTTTGGACTTCTGCAAATCATTTTGCTCTTTAATAGATTTAATTGTTGAATCCAATTTTATGATTTCACTTTTTTTTCAGAAAATACTTCTCCAACCTTCAATATGACATTTGCTTGTTCTGCTATTTCTTTATTCTTTTTGGCAAGTTGAATTTCTAAATTTTTCACATTTTCCTTCAGCTTTAATATTGCATTGTCTTGATTGTATTTTGTGGCCTGAGATGTACTAATGGTTGAGGAAGCAAAAACCAGAGCAGATGTTGTGAGTTGGTTGTATGTTGTACAGGTCTGTTAGTTGCGACCGTCATATGGGTCTGAGTTGGATTTGTCTCACATATCAAGATATGATGATTGCATCCACATCATTGTTGTTCAATAAAGATTAAAACAATGGAATTGGTGATATTTCTAAAAAATTTTTTTGTAAATTCTAAAAATAAAAATTATTCTCAGATTAAAAGTATGAGTAAAAACTACTCTACTACTGATTTTGAGCAATTTATATGCTTAAAATCAGTTTGTACAATATTTATATGATAGCGAGCAAATGATTAACAAAATCTTTTTGTTAATCATTTGCTCACTAGTATAAATCGCTCAAAATCGGTTATAAAAGAGTAGTTTTTACTCGTACTTTTAATCTGAGAATAATTTTTATTTTTAGAATTTACAAAAAAAAAAACTTTTTTTTTTCATCCACATCATCGACATGTTAGTTTCTTCATCAGGGGCAGTTGCGAGCAATGTGATTTTGGCCTAAGCACAGAAAACAACAGTTAGTCTTGTGCAGTTTCCCTGCGTGGTCTCTTGGATTTGTTATAAGTGTGCAGTCAGAACTGAAGTGATGGAAGCTGTTGCAGAAGGCATATGGAGGATGGAAGGATCCTCTCCCTTTGGTGTTTCTTCCCATAGACTTATTCCTTCTCTGGACTGCTAGTGACTGCCGTAGCTCGGAATTCTTCTCTTGTGAGAAACTGATCCTGTGGTCCATGGATAATAGCAACAGTAATGATACCGTCTATTTTGTCTCCTACAAGCTTCAGCAATTGTTCCAGGTCTGACTCACTAGTGCTCTTATGATGAGCCTCGATGAGCCATCACTCACACAAGGAATCTGGGAAGGCCTGAAGGATTTTTGGTGTTAGGGTGCATCTGTAGTGGTTAATGGGCTCTCCCAGGGTTTTCAGGACATGCATCCTATTATTGCACTCAATGAAGAGGTTGTTTAGTTTGGCGGCTGTAGGACAGATCAAAGGTTGAAGACTCTTTAAGTAGTCGATGTGTGCCTGAATTATATGGTTCTTATCACTGTATTCTTCAATAATCGTGCCTTGTTCTCAGAATATGTCTCTGCAGTTATGGCAATGCCATCTACTAGGCACTTAGCCTCTCCTTGGAGATATCCCAGAAGGAAGACATGCTTCTCAATGTCTGGTACGTTTGAATCCTTATCAATGGCTGCTGTAAACTGTTCCCAGAAGTGTTGCCATTTAGCAATTTCACCTTCAAATTATTCAAGAATCAAGGTGGGCAACTTAGTGTGAGTGGCTGCCTGTGATTGACTGGGAAGGGAAGGGGAGTCTAGACTGATGGGGCTTACAACAGTCAGGTCGGATGTGGTGTTCCTGCAGTCTAGAACCCGTTGGACTCTAAATACAGCAAGTCTGATGGATCTTTCCCTTTCTTCGCAGGCAGTGGCATTGGTTTCATATTCTGCGTCCTCGAGTTTATCATGATTGGCCTCATCTAGTATCTTTAATTCTCTAAGGCATTCATTCAACATGTCACAGGACAGTTTGATTTTATCAGATGGTGTTAAGTCAGAAGTGGCGTTGATGTTGTCGATTGTCTTTGTTACAGATGTTCTTACGGTATTGCTGAGCATGCTCAATTCTTTATTGGAATTTGAATTTATGTGGGTTGGAGATGTCTTGGACATATTTTGGAGTATCTATTTTGGTCGACAGTGGTGGTTGGGTAACAAAATCAGTTCTGTGAACAATGGAGAAGATGAGGCAATATGGCAGACAAACACACGTTTGTCTGCCATATTGCCTCATCTTGAATATGGTTTATGGTGTCAAAATACACTCCGATGTTAAGCAATGCATATTTGTGTGTATTTTTATTCTAATTAATTATTCGTGTCTTGATAAAATTTATAAACAGTATTTACATAATGGTTTAATGTAAACAAAAACTTTTATGATTTTATTAAATTGTTTGAATAAATATTTTGATATTCATAATAAAAAAAATTATTTTTTCAGATTTTCTTATAATACATTATCAACAAAACAATCACCATTAATTGCATTAATTAGAGCGCCATTGTCTGCATTGAATGTAAATAATTATCCGAAAGTAGATAAACCCAAGAAATTTAATTCTGTGCCATTTTTTTCACATGGTAAATTTGGAATAGAAAATAATAGAGTACAACTTCAGAATGTTGAATGTATACCTGAATGCTATTTTGTAGCAAGAGCACTATCTATAAGAGAAATTGAAAATACTTGGAAAAGTGTCATCATTTCAAGGCAAGATGTTTATTTTAATTAATAGCTATTGTTATTTTATTTTACTTTTTTACATGAATAAATTTCTCAAATAGGCTGCAAGATATATTAAAAGGAAAAGATATTGATGAATTAATTGATAGAAAACTGATTGATGGCCACGTAATTATGCATAATGCTACACGTCTTAGCAAAACAGGTGTTGTGACATTAACAGATAAAACAGGTTAGAGAGATGATTTTTTTTTCTTTTTTAGTTTTCTATTGAAAATGTACAAAATTCATAATCACTGATATTTGCTTCAGATGATCTTCCTCATTGGGTTATGTCTGCAATGAAATGTCTTACTAACTGTAAGTATCTTATATATATCATGATTGTATTTTGAAAAGTATTGTATTTTGTGCATATAATTTATAAGTTATCTATATTTAAAAGACAATTTAGAATAGTTACGGTTATGCAATAGCATATGTTATACATTTAAATTGAAATCATGAAGTCATGCCTCTGGTGCAATGGCTGTTACCATAGACATTAAGTATACAATGGAATACAAAAGTAATGTGAAGATTTTATTTTTGTTCTAGCAACTTTCTGTAAGGTATATACACAAAAATGTCAAGTGTGTAGAGATTAATTTTCACAATTAATTTAAACATAATATTAACATATGTATCTAATTTCAGTAATATGCTTTATTTTTTATTGTTCTTTTCAATTATTTGTGTTTTGAAAAAGTTTCACAAGAGAGAATATAAGAGATCTGCCACAAAATATGAAGGAACAGATCCTTACATAATGATCCATTTAAATATAAAATAATATATCTTTTGTAATTTACTTGTATAATAAAAAAATTTTCATTTATAAAATTTTTTTTAGGGCCAAATGCAAATGGAAGTAGTAGTTGTCTTCCAAATTATCCAGGTTTTGAAATGGATGTTTTTAAGGTTGTTAAAGATTATTTTACTAATATGGGAATTCCTCTTATACCATTTAATTTATATAAACTTTTTATGTATATATTTGGTAAGTATTTTTACTTTTAATTAAGAATTAGAAGAAATTAAATAAAAATTTACAATGAAAATAAAATGACAACTAAAATTGATAATATTGTAATATTATATTTAATATTTTATTTACAGTAAACATTATATAATAAAAATCTTTATGAAAAAATATGGTGCTGTAAATATAAAACAATTTAATTTAATTTGAAATTTTAAATGATAAAATATTGTGTATAGTTTATTTTTATTTAATAACATACTGTAAGGTCTCTTTTTATGCGGATTATTTTTATGCGATTTTGAAGTTGTGCGGTTTGTATTTCATCCAAAAATTTCTTGGACAAACATACATATAGGCTTGTTTAGGAAGCCCGCGTATAGACAGTCTCCAAAAATCGTGGAACGCTCAAAGTTCACTCCATTTGTTCCACTGACATATAACGTTTATGGATGTAAAGGACAGCTAGATCTACCTTAATCGCTTTAGTTCCTAGCAATTTTTGATATAAATGTAATTAAACATAAAAAATACTTAAAACTGAAAAAAACGAAAGAAATGCGTTAATTTTGAAGAAAAAGCTTCAAAGTTTAACTTCCTTTGTCTCGCCCTTCTGTGAAATTTAACACCGATGAGTCATTGTTTACACATCTGGATGACCTTGAACACAGCTGGAGTTGGATTTCCCGGGGCATTCTCATAGACGTCGCGGGAGGACAAGGGTTTAAAGTAGGGTGAACACTAGCTGGCCGTATATTTTTAAATATTTTTAAAAAATTTGGAGACTTAAAAAACATTCCAAAAATTCAAAAAAAAAATTCCAAAATGGCCTTAAGGACCGTGTTTTATGTAACGCTATGTAACCTGCCCGAGTTAACTCGGGCGAGGAACTAAAGGGGTTTTAATTAACTCTTCACATCCAGATGTCAGTGATTTGTTTTTAGAGTGAGCTTTTGCAATTCGGGGATTCCCCTTGTACATGATACCATCGACAAGTCGCTATTACATCATTCTGAGTTTCGCATTGAAAGGTATAAACTGTAATTGTTTTGAAATTAAATTTTATATGAATTTCTTTCAGACATTCGAAGTAATTTATTAAGCAGCCTATTTCTTTTAATTTCTGCAAACTTTTTTATGCGGTTTTAAGTTAATTTTAACTCGTTGTTTTGGTTTTATGCGATTTTAGAAAATTACGGAACGTATCCCTACTTTTTCAAGGCAAGTAAAGTCTTTTTTTATGCGAATTTTTTATATGCGCTTTTCTGTAGAACGTATCCACCGCATAAAACGAGACCTTACAGTACTGTTTTTTAATTAGAATAATAATAATAATAATAATAATCTAGATACAGAGAAGTAAATACATGTACATGGTTATTCATAAGTCCATGAAACATTTTAAAAATTTATTATTCATAAATTACACAACACATATTATATTTTTTTAACATTGAAATAAAGGTAAAGTCTCCAAGTTTTTTATGAACAAATATTCAATGTGTCCATCTTTGCTGATGCAACAGACATCTAGCCAATAATCCATTTTCTTCCTCATTCATGTCAGCATATCACAGTTAAGCAACATTGCTTAACTGTGATAACATTGCTTACTCCACAAGAAGAATTCACCACAGTATTGGCTGCAAGATACCAATTTATATTTCATAGGCTACACTCATAGATTTGCCAAACATGATCCGTGATTTGTTCACTTTGCCTTTCACAACCAGCCTTCATCCTGGAATTTTGCATATCATTTCAACATAGTGTTGTACGAAGGTAGCTCCTTAGGGAATTCTGCTCAAAATCATCATTGTACATTCACAACAGACAAGGTTCCAACACAGAAAATGACTTTTCACATTTATTTAGAGCCGTATTTGCTATTATTGTTTCCTAGTGACAAATCACTGTAACTGTGTTAATATCCTGAAAAAGTTTTATCTTTTATTTCAGTGTTAAAAAATATTGTATCTGTTGTGTAGTTTATGAATACAGGTATCCCTCAGACAATACAGCACTTTTACAACATGATTTTACTCTAACACAGTTTGAGAATTTGTTACAAAATTTCACAGTTTTTAAGTACAAACTCCATTATTCAATATGTTTTTCTTTGAGTAAGCATGCATGTCTCAAATTTGCTCACAGATTTGTATTTGTCCTTTATTTCATATAGCATGGATTTGCTTAATACAACACTTTTTCGGAACATAATTACTAAGTTACATGAGAGAGATCTGTATTAAAATTTTAAAATGTTTTATGGACTTAAAAATAAGCCTGTATTAATTACTAAATAAATATTTTGATTTCTGAAAGATAAATATTACACGATAACAAATCAAAGATTAGTAATGTTAATTACATTTGAAAATTTTTCCTCCCTAACTCTCTATCCTATGGACAAAAAGAAGACTTTATTTTGTGCCCATTGCAAGTTTGGCAGTTCAGACTCCTTGATTACTTTGGCACAGGGCAACCAAGATAATCAAGAAGCCAAACATATCTAGATCAAATTTATAAGGATCCAAATCTTTCAGAGAAATAGATGCACACTTTAACTACTATGACTATTCAGATAATAATTTAAGGAAATTAATATTTATATATAATAGATCATAATTGGATATTTGTTGAATTATATTCTTTATTTATATTGAATTATATTGACCTATTTTCAAATTTTATGCTTTGTTATAATCATTCTTGTCGTCACTATGTATAATTGGATAAAATTGTTCAGGTATATAAAAACAGTGATAGAAATTTCTCTATCCTTGGAAAATTATTTTATTAATGCTTGGCATTAAAATAGTAATAGAATTTTACTGAGAACTATTATTTTTTCATTTTTTTAATTAATTATACATTATTTTATTAGTTGTTATATTAATTTTTTTTACATTTAAAAAGTTTAATTATTTTTTATTTTTATAATTAAAAAGTTTTTAATTATTTTTACTGGTTCATAAACAAAATGATTTCTGACATGAATTCTAAACTTAGTTTTTTTTTTTTTTTTAATCAAAAAGTTATTGATAAAGACATGTTAAGAGAAATTTCTTTAATAAGCATATCTTTGCTGACACATGAAAATCTCATAAGCACCACTATGAGTAAGATAAGTTTTATGTCATAGTTCTGCAGGCCCTTGCAGTATGCATGTTTTGCAAAAACCTTAGAAACATTCAACCAATAGAACTAGCTTAATGTTGCTGAATTCCATATATAATTGGACAGTGCTGAGGAAACCTCATAAATAACTAAATTTTTTTTTTTTTTCTGTTGTTCAGTTTAGTCAATAGTAAATTTAGTAACTACATAATTACAATTTATAATAAACCTTCTTACAGAAAATTCTATGCTGTTATATGAAATATCACTTATTTTTTTGTCATTTCTGTAAATTTGATTTTTAGTACTTACATGGGTTTTCATGTGTCAGTGGCAATATATCATTTCCTCTTTATCTTCTATTATACAAAAAAATTGAAAACAATTTTTGAATGTGTTATTTTGAAAGACACAAGTTAAGCTCATTTATTAAAGCATTATTTGAAGATTAAAAAAATATAATTTATTAAAATTTAGTCTAAATTTAAAATAAGTTTTCTTTCTACTTTAAAAACATTAATTCTTTTACTCCCCTTTGTCTTTAGACTGGGAGTAATGATAGTCAGATAGATTATGATTGTTATTTTTCTTTTTCCTTGCCATTTTCCTTTCTGTAACTTGGAATTTACTTGTCTTTCTTGAAGTTAACTCCTCTTTTATTTATATCTTGCTCAATCATCTCTCTTTACCTTTTTTCTAATCACTTTGTTATTATTTTACTCTCATAGGTGTGTATTGGAAATATCATTCCCACTTCCTTTCATTTATTTATATCATCATAATCTTACTCTATTGATTTGTTTTAGCTTACTTTCTAAGTCTAATATTCCTCTAATCTCTTCACTTTTGAGTTTTCTCTGCTGTGTTTCTCACAAGCTTCATTTTTCTAGTTTGCACTCTACTTATTTTTATTTAGGTCTTTACGATCCTTTAGGCAGATGTTAATTAATATTGTACAAAGTGCTATTTATATATTATCATTTACACTTTCTCAACACTCGTTTATTCCATAAAAATCCACTCAGATTTTGGTATGTAAAAATTAAAATAAGCTCGTGATGTGTTTTTTTATATGAAAAAGTTAAATTTAATTTATATTAATTTTAATAATATATTATAACTTATTATTTCAGAAACTTTGTATTATCAAGCAGAAGAAAATAAAAGTTTAGAGAAGAATAAAGAATTATCAGATAACAATAGTGCAGCTACATTTTCTTCTTTTGAAAATCTGCTAATGAAAAATCCAGTTCAATCTAAAGTAACTACAGATTCAGAACAGAAAACCTCTACACCTTTATATCTAGCAACAGAATTAAATAATGCTCAGATGCCTTCTGAATCATCATCAATGAAACAGTCATGTAATAATAGTGAGAAAATCTGCGATAATAATTGTGCGTTCAATAATTATCCTGAGGATTTTTGTTTTGAAACTGCATTCATTACTGTTAGTCCTGTTACTCGATTGGTTGTGAATTATTCTAAAGAACATGGTTCACAGTCTAGTCTGCACACCTTAACTAGTCAAGCAACATCTGGAATAGAAACTGCTAGCACAATTAGTGCATGTAGTCATGCATATCCTCATCAAAGAAATTTTATGATAAGAACTCCTTCAAATCAATCTTTTCATACAGTTAGATCAGCTAATGACCTCCAAGATTTAACAGCAGCTAATAAATTAAGTTATGTAAATAAAGAAATACAAGAGACTCCAAGATGTAGTTCTGTAGATAATTTAAATCGCTCACTTAGATATTCTGCTAAGAGAAACCAAAATTTGGACTCTCGAACTTTATGTACACTTCCAAGAAAATTAACTACAAGTATTGAGGGCTTTTCAAAAAATACAGAAACTTGTGGAATTAAAGGATATGGAAGTTTAAGACAGTTAAAATATGATTATAAGTTTAAAAAAGAAGAACATGCAAGAAATGTTCAAAATTTATCAAATTGTAAACATGTATCTGGTACTGAGTGTAACAGCAATCCAAAAGCAATTGACAATCAAAGTGATACAACTATGAATTCATATTATACTGCTCATTCGAGTGATGATAATTCCTGGAATACTTGTAAAAATAACACCATAAGAGAATGTTCATTTAATCAAAATTCATATCTTCAAAATAATTCTCTACATCAATCGTCAGAAAGATTAAATCGATCTAAAGAAAGAGATTCTATGAAGGATTCAAGTCGCTCTTCTTCCGATTTTACAGATAATGATAACATTCGGAAAAATGATCATTTCTGGAAGAAACCATCTCTTCAACTTGCTCGTAAGACCATAATTAGTTCTTTAAAAATTCCTGTCTATCGTCCTCCTACCCCTATTTCATGCAGCAAACGGGTTAATCTGAAAAAATCTGAAAATGAAAGCATAAAATTTGTACATGATGAAATTTTGCCTCCTCGTCCAGAACCAGATGGAGAATCTTCTTGTAACTGTATGTTAATCTTTACTAATATTAACCTAAATTAAAAATTATTCAAAATTATTAAAATNAAAAAGAGTGGAGTGTCAAGAACTGTATTCACTGTAGAAACTAAGCAAGAGATAATAGCCTGTTATGACTATGAGCAATAACACATGTAAAACTTAGATGCTTTATTTCTGTTTGGGATTGGATACATGAATAACAGCGAGACTTGAACGATGGCGAGACAAATGGGACTACTCTATAACCGGTCTCCCCTCACACTTTTTTCCCCCTTTTTCCATCGAGAAGCATCCTAGTTTTCATATCCCTCACATCCTCCCTACCTTGGTTTTCTGCTTCTAGTGGGAGGACCAATTGGATGGGTTGGTGATGCGCTTCTGATCAGGAAGCCTCAGATGGCATGTCCGGATGTGACCATTGCGGCCAGCGATCAGCTCTTCGATTATGGCTGTTCTCCACATTTGTCTAGACAGCGAGTCTTCCTTAAGAAGAACAAGAGCTCCTTCACAGGGTGATGGCAGTTTTTTCCTGACCTTGCAAATATGATGAAAGCTTAGTAAGTCAAACAGATATTCTTTCTGCCATCATCTCAGAAGCTCTTGGTGATCGACTATTGGTGATGCCACTGTCTCACAAGGTCATGAAGTGTGGGGATGGTTGTTAAGCTCTGGAAGGTCAGTAATTTTTTTTCCTACCAGGAATTGAGAGGGTGTGAGGGCTTCTGATTCTTCAGTGTCATAGTTGTGTACTAGAGGCCTGCTGTTACCCCAATGAGTATGGTAGACATCTGTTCTGCATTTACTAGACTTTTCCCCAGGATCTTGCGGAGGCATCTCTTCACGCTCCTCACCAAGCTGCCTTCTCTACATTGAAGACCCAGGTGATGCCGTGGTGGGCAGAGTAGTGGGCAATCTCTGTGTTAGAAAGTTATTGCCATAGATCGTGCAGTTCTTTGTTGGCTGTGTGGAAGGATTTGGCAAAGTAAATCTTGTGAGGGAGTTTATTCTTTAGTTCTGAATATGCATTCATGTTTTGAGCACAGGATAATTTTATTTCTGTTGTCTCCTTCATATTATTGAGACAAGTTTCTTCCAATTCTTTCTTTAAGTTTTCTAAAGTATTTTGATATTCCGACTTCTCTTTCAATGCTTCTTCTAGTTTAACACATACTTCATTTATTCTAACATCTGCATTCAGTGATTTTTTTAGGTATAGCAATACATCTCGATTCTTGAAGACATTTCAATTCTTTCAGCTTTTGATTTTCAACCTCCTTTTTTATTGATGCCATTATTAGCAGATTTAACAGTGTTTGAGTCTTCTTCAAGTTTTCTTGAAGAAGACTCAAACACAATTTTGGACTTCTGCAAATCATTTTGCTCTTTAATAGATTTAATTGTTGAATCCAATTTTATGATTTCACTTTTTTTTCAGAAAATACTTCTCCAACCTTCAATATGACATTTGCTTGTTCTGCTATTTCTTTATTCTTTTTGGCAAGTTGAATTTCTAAATTTTTCACATTTTCCTTCAGCTTTAATATTGCATTGTCTTGATTGTATTTTGTGGCCTGAGATGTACTAATGGTTGAGGAAGCAAAAACCAGAGCAGATGTTGTGAGTTGGTTGTATGTTGTACAGGTCTGTTAGTTGCGACCGTCATATGGGTCTGAGTTGGATTTGTCTCACATATCAAGATATGATGATTGCATCCACATCATTGTTGTTCAATAAAGATTAAAACAATGGAATTGGTGATATTTCTAAAAAATTTTTTTGTAAATTCTAAAAATAAAAATTATTCTCAGATTAAAAGTATGAGTAAAAACTACTCTACTACTGATTTTGAGCAATTTATATGCTTAAAATCAGTTTGTACAATATTTATATGATAGCGAGCAAATGATTAACAAAATCTTTTTGTTAATCATTTGCTCACTAGTATAAATCGCTCAAAATCGGTTATAAAAGAGTAGTTTTTACTCGTACTTTTAATCTGAGAATAATTTTTATTTTTAGAATTTACAAAAAAAAAAACTTTTTTTTTTCATCCACATCATCGACATGTTAGTTTCTTCATCAGGGGCAGTTGCGAGCAATGTGATTTTGGCCTAAGCACAGAAAACAACAGTTAGTCTTGTGCAGTTTCCCTGCGTGGTCTCTTGGATTTGTTATAAGTGTGCAGTCAGAACTGAAGTGATGGAAGCTGTTGCAGAAGGCATATGGAGGATGGAAGGATCCTCTCCCTTTGGTGTTTCTTCCCATAGACTTATTCCTTCTCTGGACTGCTAGTGACTGCCGTAGCTCGGAATTCTTCTCTTGTGAGAAACTGATCCTGTGGTCCATGGATAATAGCAACAGTAATGATACCGTCTATTTTGTCTCCTACAAGCTTCAGCAATTGTTCCAGGTCTGACTCACTAGTGCTCTTATGATGAGCCTCGATGAGCCATCACTCACACAAGGAATCTGGGAAGGCCTGAAGGATTTTTGGTGTTAGGGTGCATCTGTAGTGGTTAATGGGCTCTCCCAGGGTTTTCAGGACATGCATCCTATTATTGCACTCAATGAAGAGGTTGTTTAGTTTGGCGGCTGTAGGACAGATCAAAGGTTGAAGACTCTTTAAGTAGTCGATGTGTGCCTGAATTATATGGTTCTTATCACTGTATTCTTCAATAATCGTGCCTTGTTCTCAGAATATGTCTCTGCAGTTATGGCAATGCCATCTACTAGGCACTTAGCCTCTCCTTGGAGATATCCCAGAAGGAAGACATGCTTCTCAATGTCTGGTACGTTTGAATCCTTATCAATGGCTGCTGTAAACTGTTCCCAGAAGTGTTGCCATTTAGCAATTTCACCTTCAAATTATTCAAGAATCAAGGTGGGCAACTTAGTGTGAGTGGCTGCCTGTGATTGACTGGGAAGGGAAGGGGAGTCTAGACTGATGGGGCTTACAGCAGTCAGGTCGGATGTGGTGTTCCTGCAGTCTAGAACCCGTTGGACTCTAAATACAGCAAGTCTGATGGATCTTTCCCTTTCTTCGCAGGCAGTGGCATTGGTTTCATATTCTGCGTCCTCGAGTTTATCATGATTGGCCTCATCTAGTATCTTTAATTCTCTAAGGCATTCATTCAACATGTCACAGGACAGTTTGATTTTATCAGATGGTGTTAAGTCAGAAGTGGCGTTGATGTTGTCGATTGTCTTTGTTACAGATGTTCTTACGGTATTGCTGAGCATGCTCAATTCTTTATTGGAATTTGAATTTATGTGGGTTGGAGATGTCTTGGACATATTTTGGAGTATCTATTTTGGTCGACAGTGGTGGTTGGGTAACAAAATCAGTTCTGTGAACAATGGAGAAGATGAGGCAATATGGCAGACAAACACACGTTTGTCTGCCATATTGCCTCATCTTGAATATGGTTTATGGTGTCAAAATACACTCCGATGTTAAGCAATGCATATTTGTGTGTATTTTTATTCTAATTAATTATTCGTGTCTTGATAAAATTTATAAACAGTATTTACATAATGGTTTAATGTAAACAAAAACTTTTATGATTTTATTAAATTGTTTGAATAAATATTTTGATATTCATAATAAAAAAAATTATTTTTTCAGATTTTCTTATAATACATTATCAACAAAACAATCACCATTAATTGCATTAATTAGAGCGCCATTGTCTGCATTGAATGTAAATAATTATCCGAAAGTAGATAAACCCAAGAAATTTAATTCTGTGCCATTTTTTTCACATGGTAAATTTGGAATAGAAAATAATAGAGTACAACTTCAGAATGTTGAATGTATACCTGAATGCTATTTTGTAGCAAGAGCACTATCTATAAGAGAAATTGAAAATACTTGGAAAAGTGTCATCATTTCAAGGCAAGATGTTTATTTTAATTAATAGCTATTGTTATTTTATTTTACTTTTTTACATGAATAAATTTCTCAAATAGGCTGCAAGATATATTAAAAGGAAAAGATATTGATGAATTAATTGATAGAAAACTGATTGATGGCCACGTAATTATGCATAATGCTACACGTCTTAGCAAAACAGGTGTTGTGACATTAACAGATAAAACAGGTTAGAGAGATGATTTTTTTTTCTTTTTTAGTTTTCTATTGAAAATGTACAAAATTCATAATCACTGATATTTGCTTCAGATGATCTTCCTCATTGGGTTATGTCTGCAATGAAATGTCTTACTAACTGTAAGTATCTTATATATATCATGATTGTATTTTGAAAAGTATTGTATTTTGTGCATATAATTTATAAGTTATCTATATTTAAAAGACAATTTAGAATAGTTACGGTTATGCAATAGCATATGTTATACATTTAAATTGAAATCATGAAGTCATGCCTCTGGTGCAATGGCTGTTACCATAGACATTAAGTATACAATGGAATACAAAAGTAATGTGAAGATTTTATTTTTGTTCTAGCAACTTTCTGTAAGGTATATACACAAAAATGTCAAGTGTGTAGAGATTAATTTTCACAATTAATTTAAACATAATATTAACATATGTATCTAATTTCAGTAATATGCTTTATTTTTTATTGTTCTTTTCAATTATTTGTGTTTTGAAAAAGTTTCACAAGAGAGAATATAAGAGATCTGCCACAAAATATGAAGGAACAGATCCTTACATAATGATCCATTTAAATATAAAATAATATATCTTTTGTAATTTACTTGTATAATAAAAAAATTTTCATTTATAAAATTTTTTTTAGGGCCAAATGCAAATGGAAGTAGTAGTTGTCTTCCAAATTATCCAGGTTTTGAAATGGATGTTTTTAAGGTTGTTAAAGATTATTTTACTAATATGGGAATTCCTCTTATACCATTTAATTTATATAAACTTTTTATGTATATATTTGGTAAGTATTTTTACTTTTAATTAAGAATTAGAAGAAATTAAATAAAAATTTACAATGAAAATAAAATGACAACTAAAATTGATAATATTGTAATATTATA